TCTTAGGTAAAGATAGTTAAGTTTTATACTACTATCTATTAGTATAGTATACTAATATCTCTTAATTTATATCTAAATTTCAAGTAATTTATTTTTATACTTTCTATAATATATAAAGCTTCTTTCTAGAATTTTACTTCTTTTATTAGCTTATTTATTACTTTATTATAGAGTAAGAATAGTTTTTTATCTGTATTTAAACTACCTTTATTATTCTTAATTTTTAGCTTATCTACTAGTTTATTATTAAAAGTTAAATTATTATTATATATTTTCTAAAAGTAATTATTAAATAGTCTTCTTTTTCTAGTTATATATTATATATCTCTAATATAATTTATTATAAATACTTTCTTTATATATTATTAGGTATAGAAAATAGGTATATTTTTTTTATTCTTTAGGAGTAAAAAGAGTTTTTTTTATTTTATAGCATTCTTTTTACTATATTCTTCTTATATTTATACTTCTTACTTAATATTATATTATTTTCTTTAGTTTAGTTATTATCTTTTCTTATTTTATTATTTTAAGCTAGCTTTTAATTTCTCTTTATTATATATTATTATTAGATAATTTATTATATATAGCTTATCCTACTAAAAGTATCTTTACTCTTCTTATATTTAGTACTAAAATATATCTTAGTTTTTATATAGATTTAGTATTTCTAATATTAGCAGTTTTAAGAATCTTATAATTCTTATAGATATTATTATAGGAATCTATTTATCTTAGCTTTTAAGGTAGTAATATAGTACTTTAAGTAGCTATAGATATTCTTATAGTACTTTATATTATTCTTTATATATAGTTAGGTAATTGGGATTTCTAGTAGCCTTAGGGGGTAATAATTATAAATTTATTTATTTTTTATATAATAGTAATATTATAGGTAGTAATATAAAATTATAAGATCTAGTTATATTTTTCTATATTAAGGTAGAGAATAGAGTTATCCTTAAATTCTCCTCTAGATTTTACTATATAATTTTTAGCTTTATATCTTATTATTATATAAAGGTAAATAGATTTATACTTTTAATATCTTATTATTTTTATATAAGCTATTAGTATATAGCTTCTTTAATTTCTTATTATTATTTATCTTACTTATTAAGTATAGCTTTATCTTATTATAGTTTTTCTATAGCTATTTAATTTATTTCTTTTAGGGTACTAAGTATATATTTCTCTATATAGAAGTTTAGTTTTTTTTATTACTAGGATTAAAGTATTTATTCTTAATATTATAGTCCTCTAGCTATTTATTAGGGATGTTATTTTAAGTGTTTAGTATTTTTAATATTCCTCTTTAATAGATTTCTAGCTTCTTTTCTTATTATACTATAATTATAATTTTTATTATTTCTACTAATAGTTAGATTATTATAGATTCTAATATTAATATCTATTTTTCTAAGTTTCTTTCTTTATTAGTTTTTAAAGTAAGTTTCTTTTAGTAAGGTACTTTTACTTCTTTTTTAAATAAGTATTATTCTTAGCTAGGTAGGTATATAAGCTAGCTTAAATTAAAGTATTTATATATACCTTAGGTTATAGTAATTATTTGTATTTATACTACTATTTCGAGTTTCTTCTATTTCTAAATAGTATTTAATAATTATTATTTAATAGGTATAGGTTAGAATTATTATTCTTTCTTAGACTTATAGTATTCTTATATAAAATATCCTTTCTTATTGCAATTATAATATATAATATTCTTCTTATTTTAAGGCTATTTTTATATAACTTTAAGTTTTATAGGTTTAGTATATATTTTCTAAGAGGTATTTCTATAAAAATTACTCTAGTAGCTACCTCTTTATTCTTTACTAGATTCTTATTAATTAGAATAGTAAGAATTATATAGAATATTCCGACCTTTTTAATATATTATAGCCTTCTTCTTATATTTTTTATACTATTATTTGTTAATTTTAATAGCTATAATAATATATTTTATAAGGATATTAAATTAGTTAGCTTTATAAAGCTTATTTTTAATCTTATTCTTTAGCTTTTAGTAGAATATTTTTATAAGTATTTTATTCTTTTAATTTAACTTAAAGGTAACTTATTAAAGTATAATAATATAGGTAGTAGTAAAGTAAACTTACTTAAGTATATAGATTTTTATAGCTACCTATTTTTCTTTATTAACTATTTTAAATATATTTTTAAAGGCTATTTTAAAGTTCTTTTAGTCTATAAATAAGTTAATTATATCTTAATTTTAATTAGCTTTATTATTATTAAAAAAGTCTTTAAGAATAAATTTAAATTAATTTTTAATATTACTAGCTATTAAATTACTTATAAATAGTAGTTATAATTCTATAGATACTAACTATTATAGATACTACTAGAAGTACCCTTTTATCCTAATAATAAAAAATATAATATCACTAGGTATTCCATTAAACTTCTTAAGTAGTAGTAATTTTATTACTTTCCCTGAGTTGCATTTAGTATTCATAGCAACTGCTGCTAATGCATTCTACACTTGCTGCTATAGAGTGCGGACTAGGTTGCTCAGGCGCTCTACCTTAGCGGCCATGTTGGCGTTGTTCGCCGGCGCATTGTAGGCTGGTGGCGCAGGTGCATTACTTGGAGTAGCGGGAGTTTGGTTGGTTCCGGACATCTTGATAGTACGAGATATTGCTCAATAGTTAACGCAAGTAACCATTCTAAACAAGAGCTATCAATATATAACAGTCGTGTCTTCTAACCCGCTGTAGATATAGTCTAGAGTAGGCAGAAAGTAGGTTGCTAGTGGATAAACTATAGGTTTATATTAGTAGAGCAGTTAGGGCGTTACTTATAGAGTAAATATTATATCTAGTAATAGTTAAGTACGATAATACGTAGCGAGTTAAGGTGATTGAGGTAATTAAGTTATATTAATAGCTGAGTAGCTGTCTATAGTGAATGTATACTACTCGGTTGTCTATATACTAAGGTAATTAAGGGTAATCACGGTGTAAGTGATCGTAATTACTGGTAATTAGAGGTAATTACGGAGTGATTATGCGTGGCTAAACTATATTCTGTTTCGGGAGGCTAAGAAAAGTGGGGCTGCGCCTGGGGCCTGATGCAGGTCGCGGCCAGGCCGTGACAGTATGGTATCTTTCGTCTCGGAGGAGCTGCTGCTGCCACTGAAATGAAAGCAGCACCCTTCCAGATGGAAAATTCTATAATTTCCGAGGAACTGCGGCGCTGAAAATTCTCCAATAAATATAATGGTATTGAATTCGACAGAGTCTTTGCCGCCGCCTTCTTTACTCTGCCTATGATTTGAGACTTTATTGCTAATAAGCCACCCAATAAACCCAATCTGTAATAATTACAAGAATATTCCATAAAATCCTTTGAAACCCTACGTCCACCACGTGAGAACCGACGCTTCGCGTGTATATGCATAGATAAGGAGCAGATGAGTTGTCCTATGTGGCATTCCCGCGGGAAGGCAACCTGGAACTAAATCAGCATGACTGCCCTCAAAATAACGCCAGACCAATGTCACGGACTTGTTTATGACAACGTTACCATCTCAGAGTTTTGCGCGAAGAACGGGCGCAGAGACCAGAGACGTACAGCGGTCAGTAAGAACAACATCCACATCAGACAAAGACACTCAGCCACGGGGCATCGGTGAGAATCTTAAACTGTCAATCACTCTCCCAGTCGTCTCCGTTCCCATCTGCTGAACAATTGCCCAGAACCTTGTCCACAAGCTCCCGCGTGATACACAGCCTCGGCGCTGCCTTTGCGAAAATCGACTTTCGCTTCGCGAGGTCGTCAGCGGTGGTCTCGGCGCCCTTAAACGTTGACAAGTACTCGGCGACCGTGTGATGCCCGTTCGCCTTCGCGCAATCTGCGGGCGACTGGCCCGAGTTAGAGAGTCGCGGCCACTCGAGAGCATATGGGTTGACGGCGAGGAAGCGGCAAGCGTAGATACGGCCCTTAGATGCCGCGATATGTAGTGCCGTCCGCCCCTCATGGTCGGCATGGGTGAGGAGTCTGCGCATGAAGTCCGAGTTCCTAGACACAAAAGAGACTGGATTTTGAATGTCTCGATAGTGCTCGTCGCCCTCTTTCATAACAGCATCGAGATGCATATCGAATATGTGCCCGACTATTACAGTCATCACAGTCTCGTCGCCGGTCGCCGACGCAATCTCCAGTGCCGTGTGCCCGTCGCCGTCCTCGTCGAGGAAGACCTCGGAACTGACACCCGCGCCGTAGCGGCTTAGGAACGCGCCCATCAGCTTGGCAGCGGGAGATGTCCGATGCGTCTCGTTGCCGAGTCCGGCCAAGTAGTGAAGACAGTTCTTGCCGTCTTCGTCACGGGTCCAGGCCAGGCCGACAGCCCACTTGCTCTCCAGTAGTTCGCATATCTTAAGAAACTTGAAGGATTCGTCCATCCCATACAGGCACGCCATATCGCCCATGGCACCCTTGCACAGCGAATGCCACGGCGATCCGCCCTGCACGCCCTCCTGGGTTGGTGGGCCAGCGTTGTAGTCCAGCAACATTCGCACGTGCTCTACGCTCAAAGCGTGAGCCGCATGATGCATGGCTATCTTTCCCTGTACATCGGGGGCGTTCAGGTCTGCCCCCCTCTCCAGGAGCAGGCGTGCTGTCGTTACGTACTCCTTCACGGAGGAGCTGCATGCGTAGCCGAGGATAGTCTTGCGGCAGTCGCCCTCACCGTCGAGATTGGTGAAGCCATTTGGGGACGCCCCATGCTCGAGCAGCAGACGAAACATGTCGTCCTGACTAGGAAAGAGGCGGCCAAGGATGGGCACGAGGAGGGTGTTGTGCTTAGATATTGAATCGCCATCACCATCGCGAATATCGACCTCCAGGGCCATGGGGATAACAGCGCCTTTCTTCAGCAGTACTGCTGCGACTTGGACTCTGTTTCGCATTGCCGCCTGTGTAATTGGGGGATCACATCCATTGGGAGCCGCGTTGACATCGGCTTTCCATTCCAGGAGATCTGACACCACCTTCAGTACCAACTCCTCGTTTTCCTCGTTATACGGCCGGGACAGCGCAGCCTGGAGAGCAGTGCCGAACCTGCCACCCATAGCGTTAGCACTGGCCCCGTGTTGAAGCAGTAGCTCCACGAGCCGCCCACCAGAGACGTCGTATCGTGCGGCAATCTGTAGCGGTGTGTTCTCACCGGCCCCAGACTCGACCTCAGCACCTGCTGCCAGCAACAGGCTAAGAGCTCCAGGCGAGATCCCAGCGTTGCAAACACGGCCAACAGCGGTCCATGAGTTAGAAGTGACAGTGTTGACGTTTGCTTTGTGTTTGAGGAGCATCTCGACCATGGCCGCTACTTGGTCGCTGTTGAAATAGTTGTCGCAGGCAGCGTGAAGCGCAGTCATCCCGAACGCGGCCAGCAGGTTAGGATCGGCTCCTGCGTCGAGAAGGGTCCTGACAGCGTCGACGCGCATATGGCCGCAAACAACGCCAAGCGGCCAGCCCCATGCCCGCCTAGATGCCCACGTCTTCAAGCCGTGGTCTTCTGGGAAGTGGTTCACGTTAAGGTACCGGATGGCGTCGGTGTTGACCAAGGCTTCGAGGATTGCGGAGTTGAGATCGTTATCCTCCTTGCCCATAGCGGCTAGCAGTAGACACGACCTGCCCCATGAGTCGAGGAGCGTCGGGTCTGCTCCGGCGCCGAGAAGAAATAGCACGAGGTCCTTGTGCGATCCGGAGGAGGCATAAAGAAGGGCCGTGGTTACGAGTTGCCGATCCTTGGGGGAGTCGGGATCCGCAAATGGCATATCCACGTCCCAGCCCATCCTGGCCATCCTGCTGCACACTCCGGTATGTCCCTTCCGCACACCGTCAATCCACAGTAACATCATGTCATTATGTTGCGGCCGGAAGCCTGAGTCGAGTAACATGAGAACTGCAGACTCCGAGTTGCCTCTGAATGACGTTGCTGCCTCTGCAATAGAGAGGCTCTTGGTTGTGGTGATGAGGGACAAAGCGTAGAACAGCAGCATAGCTGTGAAGTGGACAGACAGGATTCTGATCGGGTAACGTGGGAGGATAGGAGAAAGGCCATAAAGGCCGCCTAGCTTGGACATAACCAACATCAGCATCAAACAGTAACTGAAAAGCTTCGCCAGACGGAACAGAATGAAAAATAGATCAGACACGGATGGTAGCGGCAGAAATGGCGAATGGAGTGAGGCTCCTGCCTCAAGTAGTGCCCAAACTGTCTCGGGGAATCCTGAGCGAAGAGCCAGATGAAGAGCAGTCTGTCCCTTGTCGTCGGCGCCATCTAGTTCGACATACTGCCCGAGGAGATCTCTCAGCCGATCGAGGTCGGCCTCTCTCGCGGCAGCGTGCAGTTCGACATTGTGGCTAGGGCGTCGGAGGAGACGGCGACAGAGCTGCACCGTCGTGAAGCGGCTCAGGGGACTAAAGAAGATGTCCCGACGACAGGTATTCATAGGCATGACAGTTAGGGAGACGCCTCCAGGCCGAAAGACTGGGGAACTTCGCCATATGTTGATAACCCGAGTCAAAGAGTCGGTAGCCCGTTGAAAGCTTGCGTAATCCATCCTATCTCAGCCCCTCGGATCAATTCTCCAATTACGCCAATCGGGAGTAAAATAATCCGCCTGATTCTAAAGCTTCCTTCGAAACCGACTGGTTCCGGCCTTATTGTACCTGCTGATGCCCATTGCTGCCCAACTGATACCGCCATCGACCTTTAAGCCTTACTGATCCTACTCCAGTACTGGTAACGGGAGCAATCAATAGCCCTGTGCGTGCTCCGACCTTCTACTACGTAAGCCCGCAGAGAAAGATGGACTGGGGCATGGTTGCGGCCATCGTTGCCATAGTAACCATTCCGCTTTACGCTTCTCCGCTCTTGCTCAAACCCGCCTTTCATCTGGTGTGCGAGTATGTGATCCGAATCCTCTATCGAAGGGCGATGTGCGGGAGGATCAGGTGGCAAGATCTCCCAAGCCAACAGCGCCTCACAGTTGCCACTTCACACTCCGAATGGTTCCGGCGATCTAGGTTTGCCGGTACACCAGGAGTTCCGAATCCCGGCGGTTCGAGCAATGCAGAAATTCTCAACTTTTTTCGACATGTGTGGCATACTGCGCCTCGACTGGGGGAACGACCCCGGTACCTAAAGCTCGAGAGACAGTACCTGGGCATCGATGCAAACGCCCTGATAGTGGCCCTCATGCTGGACGAGAGGGCAGTATCATTCGTTTTCTCGGCGAGCGAGCCTCATCATGTCGTCGAAGGTAGCACTTCCACCGTTCGATATGCACGCGGATCGACGGAGGGCATCTTTCGCCATCACGAGACCAATGGTGGCGATGATGCGTACATCCTCGGCCGTCTTTACCGCTTTCCTCTCCCCCCAGTTGTCCAAAATAGATTCCACGGCCTGTCCAAGGACGACCTCCTCCACATCTCCCAGGGCTACCCACCGTTCTATCGCAGCACATTCAAGGCCCGCTCCGGCGTTGATGTTGCCCACCCGGTCCGCGAAGAGCGGGATGCAACTCGCGCTGGCTGGGTCGTTGCCATCGGCTTCTCTTCCGATCCACCGATCCACCTGTATAACAATAGGTTCATGCCTCAGTACGAAGAAGCATGCTGCCGGGTTCTCCATGTACTCGAAGACATCCTCGTCCCGGCGTTTAAGGATCATCAAGGTGTAGGACTGATGTTACGAAACGCCGTAGAAGGTGTCAAAAACATGAACCGCGCCAGGACAGGAAGCGTCCTTTTGCGTCGCATTCATATTGCCGTCTTTGGTAGCGGTAATGATTTTGGCAACATCGGGGTCGATCTAAACGCCAGAGACATTCGTTTGATTTTGGACCTGTTCAACTCTTACAGTAGGGGTGAACTGAGCGACCCCGAGCGTTCTGAGATGGAGAGGATCGTACCTGAGGCGCTGAAGGCCGCCGTAACGGGCGTCTACACGTGGTGGCAATATGTAAATAACCAAGGCCATGCCATTCCCGAGTGGCTCCTAGACGAGAGAATACAGCTGTGCCCGATATGGCTCCAGGACTGGGAGGAAGAGATAGGACTATAAATGCCGAGCTTATTGGAGGTAGTTATAGGGATTAACGAGCTACATGGTGTACCTATCAAACCACTTCTTGAACCAAGCAGACACACAGTGGCACAGGAAGACTAAATACATGCCTAGTAAAACGAGATCCGATTTAGAACACCAGGGCTATTGTAATCGCAAGGCTGAAAAGAGTCGCACTTGCATGTAATTCACAGCAGTTAATTCAGCATCTAAAATTTACATCTAGGCCATTATTTGCAAAGATCATGGATTTTTTGTATTCGCCGAGATTGACAAGCAATGCTTTAACCCTACATGCTTTAATCTTATATCCAAGACTGTAGCCGAGATGATAACTGACTGCTTATTTTTGTTTCAGGCAGTTATAAGAAGAATTAACTGCCTAACCAAGGTATATACATGGCGGCATAGATGACTTAATTAACTCAGATTATCTCAGATATATACCCTTCTTTATCTACTCTCACCTCAAGTCAGAGCCATCGCACACCTTCATCCTGGAATTATTGAGATATGACAAAATCCGGTTTATATTAAATAATGCGGCGATATCCAGAGTCCGCCACCTATATGGAACAGACCTCACACCGAGCGAGTCGTAGGTGCCGCTATTGCACGTCTTGATATCATTTCGTGTGTTGTAAGATTGATAATTTCAGGACCAATTTAATAAATAATTATTGCTTAAGCTTGATTTGATGATCATCTTAAATATCGATATCTACAATATGAATGTAGTATTCTGGCGAGCAAGCATTCATCAAGCCAGAACTACATTTATATTTACAGCTAATGCAAATTAATTGCAATTATTAGGCCGTCCCCTCTTGTTGCCAATGCTCGCAACGAATCCTCTGTGTGGATCTCATGTTCGCTAGTAAAGCAAATATATGTAAATTGTCCTAGTACCGGACGTACAACACAGATCACTGACTAGGAGTCTAGTAAAAACACGGAGCCATATCATTGCATGAGAAATATAAAATGAGACTGTCGTTAATGAGCTTATAGAGGTGGAAGAGTAATAGAAGTCCATTTTCGGCTGAACAGGTATGGTTCCGTGCCTCGCGTAGTCGCTTCTAACCACACTGCTATTGCTGAAGGAATTGAGGGCAAACTAGACACGGTGGTGCTACTAGGGCACGATGCGGCATGCTCGCACGGCCAGGTTAACATTTGGGCTCTATACTACGATCTAATTTTGCCTGTAGCTATTTACGATGTACTAGTAGAAAAACATGGCGTGTGGAAGGCTGCCATAGTTTGGAGAACATGCTGGAGCGGAATGTTGATTGTAGTCGGGGCTACCAAGTCCGCGACATCTTCGGCAGTCCCTTCTTCGTTACGAGATCGCGGTCTTTTTTTGGGGATCCAGAGCCTGAAATGGAGCTTGGCGCGGAGCTTTGGAAACCTCGAATGGGATGAATTTTGTTATTTTACGGTAGCCGACCGAATCAAGATGCTTTGGCCGGGGGGCAAATATCGTCCGTCCCAACGAAGGGGAAAATACGGTGTGTGCTTCGCCAACCCGGCCAGAGAGAATACCCATTGGCCATTGAAACGAGTGCCAAGGAAGAGATTGGACTTGAAATACTTCGCAAATAGATTGTAAGATATTCCAGACGAGCAGTTCCACGCTCATCGTGGCATTAAAATGTGAAATGGCGAAGAGCACTGATTTCTAAGAGACCACAGCTGCTACGGACAGGGCTGTGCTTCGCCACAGGTAGCATGGCGGTTATGTCACAGCGAGTTAAAGTAAATGGCCGCGTGTATAATGGCCATAGAATAAGATCCGACCTGACCAGCAATCGCAGATTGCTCGATGCTACCCAGTTGTCTATTTCGGTAGGCCCCACAAGAGGCGGTAGCTACAATGATCCCGTCAGCCTCTTGCACCCTTGCAGTTGCAGATTCTTGCTGCTAACTGTTGCTTTAGTTACTTGCCCTGGGAAAGGAGGGCGAGCCCGTGCATAGGGAGCAGACTTGAGATTCTGTGATTCTGTTCTTAAGAGTTCCCATCTTCTAAATGTAATAGCCAAGACGCCGTATTCTGGTAGAGAAAGTGAAATTTAAGTACTAAACTCACAGTTTTAAAATATATTAACTATTGCCTGCTCTATACTCTATATTGTAGATTTAGATTCTTACTTATCTTCTTACTTATATCTCTATTAATAATACCCTTATTATATTCTAGTTTTAGCTATTTTATTTTTATATTTTTAAAGTAATAATATTACTATTAACGTATTAAAATTTTATCAAGTAAATTTTATTTTAGTTAAATAATTTAATTAATAAGTAGAAAATAAATAGTTAATAACTTTAATAAAATAATATTAAAAGTACTATTTTTTTTATTATAGCTTTATATATTAAATTTAAATTTAAATTATAAAAGATATTATATAAAATATTTTAAAAAGAAATTAAAAAATAAAATAAAAATTATATTATTAAATTTAAAAATAAATAATAAAAGCTATATTTAATATTAAAAATAATAATTAAATAATAAAATTATTACTTATTAATTTCTATTTAAAGTTTTTATTTAATTCTTTTAATTTTAATTTTATTTTAAATAAAAAAATATAAAAAAATAAAATATTTTTTATTATTAAAAAATTAATTTTCTTTTTAATTTTTAATTTTTATTTTATAATAATTAATTTTAAATATAATAAATTTTATTTAAAAAATTCTTATTATTAATAATTTATTATATTTATATTATATAAATAATATTTAATATAATTTTAAATTTTCTTAAATTTTAAAAAATAAATTAAAAAAATACAAATTAATTTTTTTTTTTAAATTTTCTTAAAAGAAAATCTATTTAAATTATTATTATATTATTTATAATATTTAAATAAAAAATAAAAAATTATATTAATTATTTTTAAATATTATTTATTTTTTTATAATAAAAATAAAAATAATAAATAAAAAAATTAATTTTTCAATAGTAATTTTATTTTATATATTTAAATAAAATACTAAATATAGCTTTTATTATTTATTCCTACTATTTAAAATTACTATATAGCTTTAATTTATTTAATAATATTAAATAAAGCTAAAAAAACTAAATATATTTAAATAAAAATAATTATATTTTATAATTTAATAAAAAATATTAATAATATTAATTTAATTTTTTTTTATTTTTTAAAAATATTACTAGAATTTAATATAACCTCTAATTCTAAAAGCTATTATATTATATTAAGTTGATATAGATACTAGCTATATAAAATACTAAAGAGAGGGGATTTAAATAACTTAAATAGGTTATTATAGGCGTTGGAGATCTCGGGGCGTTTCACAGGTCGGGTCGTAGGAGTTTTCAGTACATTCATCAAGATTAGACTGGGTCGAAAAAGTTAGATAGGATTCCGGCAGAGAAGAAAAAAGCAGCTTGAAACCCAAAACTTGGGCCTTGGCAACTGTGACGTGCGCGCAACGAAAATGCAGTAAATTCAAACACTAGGTTCCCTCATCGAGGGACAATACCAGTTTATAAAATAATATTTCCGAGCTCAAGCTTTTGTTGGGTCAGCATATAGACGCCCGATGACATTGCCTTGTGAGAGCCTATCAAGTCCTTCTTTAATTTTGCTGAAGGGTATCTCTTCGAGAAGAGGCTCAATCTCCTTGTTCGCGATCATCTGCAATGATTTCTCAACCTCGCCAATGGATGAACCAGCCGACCCTTTTATTGTGACACCGAGGGCGACCAACTCATGCGTATTCAGCGTAGCTTCTTTTTGCGCAAGACCAACAAGGACGACCTTGCCACCAGGTTCCACCACCTTGGCGGCAGCTGCCGTCGTAGAACCTGCGCCTGCAAATCTATCACTACATCGAACCGTACTCCTGGAAAGCCGTCGAAGCTTTTGGCGCACGCATAGACTCCGGCCTGAGCAGCTGCCACATACTTGCGGTTGTCGCGTTCGATTCCGTACACTTTGGACCCGAAACGAGACGCAATCTGAGCAGCCGATAGACCCAGACCTCCCAGTCCGATTATAGCGATTTTCGAGGACGCAGAAATCTGTCCTTCGACAACGACAGCATGGTACGCTGTGGCAACAGCGTCGGTAGCCACAGCCGCTTGAGCAAATGTGACTCCCTCGGGGATACGCAATGTCTTTGACTCGAAAATTGCTGCGTATTGTGCAAATCCACCATCGTAGCCAATGCCGGCTGTGGTGGTCACATCACCGAAAGTCATGGGGTGCTCAATGCCGATTATGGAAACGACCGGGTCTCCAACGTTGAACTTGGTCACGTCTGCACCGATCCCGACAACGACACCGGCAATTTCGTGACCCAAGATAATAGGCCGTTTCCAGAAGAAAGTATCGTCCAGTCCAGATGCTATGTTGCAGTCGGTGTGGCAGAGACCGGTCGCCTTGATCTCGACGAGGACTTGGTTTTTGTCGGGGACGGGGACTGGAACCTCCTTGTATTCCAGTCCTTTGGAAGGATGAGTAAATTGGTAGGCTTTCATGGTCGAAGGCATCTCTGTCGTAAATAGAGGTAGGGTTGGGTTTCTTTAGTGTGAAGCTTGACGGAGTGTGAAATTGGTAACGGACATCAGCTATAAATGTACCTTACTGTTGGAACTGGCTCAACTGTGAAAATGAATGCTATTATGAGATTGATTTGTCGAGGGCATCAACTCCGCCCTTAATCATCAGATTTGCCGGAAGTCTTAGGTAAATCTTCCGTATTGATTCTGGATAGTCTGAGCTCGTGATGTGTCCCGAGGGAGGTTCAGAGGCTAGCAAATTGATCCCGTGTCCTTGTTTCGGCACACGGAATGTTTGTGCCGCTTAGGTAACGAGTTTATTACTGGCTAGAACACACCTCTTTCGTCTCGAAGTGGAAATAGCGGGAGCGGCAGATTCGGTGTTTCCCCGAACGCGGGGAGTGAGGGGATAGCGTCTGAGCTAGGGAACTTGCTGTGGGGTGATAGATCGGACTATCGGCGATCGCGTGCGCCATCAAAGGCGAAGGCGGCGAAATAGATTTGTCCGACGGCCTCGTTCAATAATTGATGATGACGTTATATTTCCGAGTTATGAAGGGCTTTCTAATAGCTATATTAGAGAACCTTGAGAAGTAAATGGTTGGATATCCGGTTCATATCTACTCGACACCACTCCCTCTTACACCAGTCGTTCAACCACTCTTCACAATCCTCAGATAACAAGTCCTTAGCAAACAAGGTATCAAGGCCAAGGAAATTACGATGGCGACCTTTCAGACGGCTCAGACCCTTTTCACTTCGGTTGACGGTGTGAAGATTGCGTACCGGCGATTTGGAAAGCAGAGTGTCTTTCCGTTGTTGTACCTCAACCATCTACGGGGTTCGATGGATACCCTCGACCCTCTTCTTTTCAATACCATTGCCAAAAACCGGGAGGTCATTATATATGACAGTTTCGGTATTGGCCACAGCGAAGGAACCGTACCTGAGTCCACTTCGGCCATGTCCTCTATTGCTGCCAAATTTCTGGCGGCCATCGGAGTTGCCCAGGCAGATGTTATGGGCTTCTCAATGGGTGGTGGTGTTGCGCAAAGCCTGGCCTGGGACTACCCCCAGCTGGTCCACAAGCTGGTCCTGGCTGGTACACAATCCGCCATTGGGGACGGGGTGGTTCTACCCCCGCGGGAAGTGCTTGAGAGCGCCGGTGCCAATAACGATGAACCTCCAACCATGGAGGACATGTTTCGCTTGTTCTTCTACCCATCCGACTCAAGCCTGGCGCTTGGGCAAGCATGGTGGAAGAGGATTCATGAACGACAAGTAGAGGGAGAAGGGCGCAGGGAATATCTTGTGGGACAAGGAGCACGATCACAGCTAACAGCCATTTTCGCCTTCACTGTCGATCTCGGCAACTTCGACCGGCTCCAAGATATCAAGGCCCCAACATTGGTTACGAACGGCCACAGCGACATCATGTCACCCACTCCAAACAGCTTTATTCTGCAACAAAGAATCAAGAACGCCCAACTTATTATCTATCCCGATTCGGGGCACGGACACCTCTTCCAAGTGCCGGAACTCTACGCACAGCATCTCGAACTCTTTTTGAGCGGTCCATAGAGAGCTTGGCTTGAAGTTGACGATCGCTACGGAGACTCAAATATAGCCGGTTTAAATGGCACAATCCTTCAGGCATAAGACCTTTCCCTCTTGATACTGCGATACTGCGATACTACAGCCTACATGTATAGCGAGCTAGAAACAAATCCACTGTGCCACGACCCACATGCAATCGCTTTTTTCTCCATTCCACATTACCGTATCGACTAGTAAAGTGGCGCATTAAACCTTTATATTCGAGCTATCAAAGACACTCTAACTCTCAATATCCCAATCACGAGAGTCGTGGTAGTATAGGAATATAAGTTATCAGCTTACATCAGCGAATTAGGCCAGTACTACCCACATGCATGTGCCGGGCTTGACATCGGGGCTCCTGCGGCGCCGTTCGGTTAGTAATTTTCAATAGGATACGGCACGACGGGGGGGTCCAAGTATATAAGTAATCTTCTAGGCCTACTTTTATGCCAGCAGTGTCCAGCTGATATCGGATTTCTGGGTATTTCCTCCAGTCCTTGTCATGGTCGCCATTCTGCTCTAGCCTCCTTTCCTCTTCCGTGAAGAATTTATGGCTGTTATATACAACCGTTTCGACAGCTTGAGCTTCCAGAGGCTATGGATCGCTATGGAGATGTCATGTAGGAAGTGACTTGACTTGGTCCATAGTTGGTGCCAATGCCTCAGACGTAGACTACTCTGACAGTGCGATGCAGTAGCAAGGCAACACTACAGCGGCCAATTTCCTCACCCGACACCAAAAGTGTCAGACAATGCAGTTCTCTTCAACATACTTAACTATTATGGGCCTGATAAGTGGTATTTAATTAAAGACCCGATACCCTCCTCTTCTGCTGTAGAACAGCGGTGAGAGAGATCCAGGGTTTCCCTTTCTGTTTGAGCTCTTCACCAGTGCTTAGCGGTGTCATCCAGCTGCGGCACCACGTCTGGGATGTTGTCTCGCCGATTCTGGTCGTCTAAAATGGCCATCTTACGTAGTAGGTCGATTTACCAAGTATAGAAACCCCGAAGCCGGCGGGAAACTTATAAATCACAAAAAGAACTCGGGCGGCCAATTGCCCGAGACCCCGAACCCGCTATCAAGACTCCGCAAAACATACAACCCCGCTTTCAAGCCCCATTATGTTTGCGGACTTTGGCTAAATTTGTCATCTTGATAGTCAGAGATAATCAGACCAGCGATGACGATGCCAAGAACTCTAGGTCGGCTGTCCCTTCCCCTGGGTGGATATGGTAATGGTTATATAAGAAGTAGGACCAAGGTTGCAAATGAGACAATGTATTAGGCTCCCAAGTTGCAAAAAAGCACCTGTCTTCCACTTCCATCTACTTATTTGTGCCCGCTCCATTCGCTCAACTACCATCATGGCCCTCCCGAAGACCATGCAGGCCCTAAAGTCTGCTAAAGATCATAAAGCCGGCCTGTTCGACGTTCCCCTTCCTGTCCCTGCCCGTGGAGAAGTTCTTGTGAGAACCAAGGCAGTTGCACTGAATCCATCCGACTGGAAGGCCATCACTTGGATGGACACGCTCAACTTCACGATCGGATGCGACTACGCGGGCATTGTTGAAGCAGTCGGCGAAGGAGTCGAGAAGGACTGGAAGAAGGGCGACCGCATCGCCGGCATGGCAAACGGCAACAACCCTCTCCACTTGGACGGCGGAGCATTCGCTGAGTACATTGTTGTGAAGGGAGATGTTCAAATCAAGATCCCGGACAATATCGCGTTTGAAGAGGCAGCTACGCTGGGTGTTGGAACCGCCACCGTCGGACAAGGTCTGTATCAGAAGATGAAGCTTCCATTGCCGACTGCCCCAGCCAAGGAGAAATTCCCTATTTTGATCTATGGAGGGAGCACGGCGACTGGGATCCTGGGAATTCAGTTTGCGAAGCTGTAAGTAGACATCCCTCGTCGATATATCGCTACGAGGTCACACTCTACGCCCTTACCACCTTGCCGTGGCCGAGAAATGGCTAACCTATATATATAGCTCGGGACTTGAAGTCATCACAACCTGCTCGCCTCGAAACTTCGACTATGTCAAGGAGCACGGCGCAGATCACGTCTTCGACTACAACTCCCCGACCTGTGGCAGTGAAATCCGGGAGCTGACAAAGAACCGCCTCTTTTATGCCTGGGACTGTTTCGCTGAGAGCCCGTCCCCCAAAGTCTGCTCGGATGCACTTTCCACTGAGAAGAACCCCTCTGGTGAGCAGCCCATATACGGAAGCCTCGCGATGGAAGGTTCAGGGCGAGACGACGTCACGTCTGTGACTTCCATGGCCTATACCATCTTCGCAGAGCCATTCGAGAGAGGGCCATTTTACATTCCCCCGAGCCAAGAAGACTTCGAGTTTGCCAAGGAATTCATGACCTTGATCGATCAACTTCTGGCTGACGGTAGCTTTAAACCGCACCGGGTGGAGCTGAGGAGTGGTGGGATTGCGGCAATTCCAGAAGGGATAGAAGATTTGAAGAACTACAAGGTTAGTGGAAAAAAGCTCGTTTACCCTGTAGAATAGGTAGAAGAGAGTTACATAGCTTAGTATGACTCAATTTGTTGCATTTACTAAGTTGCTGGCCATCAGCCCGGAATTTGACTGCAAGGACCAGCGAGCGACCTCATAATTATTAGCCAACAGAGCCCAGGTTTGAGGAGCTCGGCACCTTTGAGCAGACTGAACTTAACATCGCTCACATCATGGAGGAGTATCGCTACGTGACAACTAAGCGATCCCGAAGCGCTTTTCGGGGAACACTGGGACATGTTTTCCATCAAAGAATTATATTTGGTTTTTTTTTTTTTTTTTTTAGCTCTACTCAATATCATCAGATAGATCAAAGCCATACAGTAAATCTCAAACAGTAGGAATACACAATAAGTGCTACACCCAGCACCAGAAGAAACAGTAGCTGAACAATAAGGTTGTTGCCCACCGGTCTCTGCCTGAAGCTTCCATTCAACCCCTCTGACTTCAACCCTATTGTCTGCAGTCAACGGCCTTGAGATAGTAACCTTATTCCGAGTAATAGGATATAAGGGAGACTGACGTCTCCCATCGTCAAGGGACCAACTTCCCTTCTAACACTCATCCCATCGTCAAAGAATTATATGCAATTGCGAAAAGATCCTTAAACCATTCAAATCTCATCTAAGCGCACTGAAGTAGGAGGTGCGTAAATTGTCGGCTGCAATTCGTGTAACTACACCACGTAGTAGACTGTCTGTTACAATTCATGTGCTCTTTATGCCCTCACTACCACGATGTTTGATTTGCCATCCGCCGTACGAACAGAAAGCAATCGAGAGGGTCAATCTTGATAGAGAATAGTCGGACCATGAAAGTGGTGCCGTCCGTAGAACACCCAATTTGCAAGACCTAGAAATAGGACAACTCCAATTATCACGATGTTGTAATCTAGGAAACAGGAGGTAAGTAGAAAGCAAAGACCAAGCAAAGAGAAACCCGGAAACGGACAAGTACTCACTAAATGTAGAAGTTGTGGTTGGATAAAACGACGGGAAGGCAAAAAATACAGTCATTACTGACGTGAAGATAACGACATATACATTCAAGATCCAGCCAAGCCAAGAAGGCAGTCGGAAAGTTCGATCTGATGGGAGATAAATAGTTGACCGCTTACGATACAGTAATAACCCGGAGGGGATGAGATAAGTGATCTGGCCGAAGGATACAGTTGAATTTAGGATCGCGTTAAATGCTGATGTTGTAGTTTGAATTAGCTGCCTGATATATATCATTGGGCTAAGGACTACATGTGTCTCTGCTTTGCCAAAAGAAATTTGAAATCTGTTTAAGCAAAGACAAAACTTACCGACAGAAGAGGCTAGAAATAGACAGCCAAACAAAGTGACGATGAACCAGTCGAAGAGTAGTGCATTAAGAGGGGCTTCAAGCCAAGGGTTGGTGCTGGCCAGCAGTTTTGATCCCACCATGGCATTGTCTCTGGCAAACGCCACCGTGAGGCGAGAGGTTGTTTGATAAATTGCATTCGTCATAAACCAGGCGAGCACGATCCCAGCGATTGAGAACGCAGCCGTGCCGGTGAGGGATCGCAAGGCTTGAGACCAAACCTCAAAGGTGACGAAACTACCATTCTCGACGTTAGCTCGGCTCCGCATCTGGCCATTGCTCAGAGGAGTATTGTGAACTTAATAGGCGGTACTGACCCTGAGGCATTGAGGATGGAATCCAGATCAGAGATACCATACAGCAAGGCTGTAGTGAAAGAAAAGGCGGTCACAAAACCGACGCATACAGCGCAGATAAGAGCTATGGGGACAGATCTTCGTGGCTTCTCAGCCTCTTCCACCAGGTGCAACGAGGCGTCCAGGCCTCCAAATAGGAAGCAAGTATTGGACAGGCTGGTTAGGAAGCAAATACCGTCCCCCCAGCCTGTGTAATTCAGGAAGGCAGTCCAAACGAAACTGTCAGGCTGTTTCGGCGACGACCGAACCAGAACAGTCACGAAACATCCTACGAATAGACTCAAGGAGAAGAAAACTGAGATCCCAGGAGTCAGCTAGCTTGCCCTATATCATCCAGAGCGACAGGATCTCCTTGATAGGAAGGATGAATAGGGAGTTATCTTGCATCCCACATCATGTATCCAGGACGCGCGCTTGATAGCCAAGGCATTGTAGAGCAACGCCGTGGTACTGAAGGCCTCGTATACGAGGAATAGGTGCCACGGATGCGCAACGTAGTTAGCTCTGAGGGCGGAAACAAGCGTGATGATGTTGTAGCTCGTTAGCATCACGGTGGCAGACGCGATGGCCAACCAAGCGACGAGGTTGAACAGACCGCAGATGTACGCGATCAGTTTATGGTACCGCTGTGGTGCCAGGATCGAGGCAAAGTGGTACTGGCCACCGGCAGTGGGATAGACGCTTGTCAGCTCTCCCATGACACAAGCGATGCTCAGGTAGGCCGAAGTACTTATGATCATGCCGTACAGCAAAGTCACCGGGCCGCCCTGGAGCATAGCTGACTGCATACTACCAGAGACTCCTGCCCAGCTATTGCAGGTGTTGAAAGCTATGGCGATCATTGACAGCGGCCCGATGGAAAATTTCTTCGTGCCCTGATTGTTGTCCATAATGGCTTCATCGAAGTAAGACATCAGGCCATCTCCGGTACTTGATCGGCCGGCATCCTCGATAAGGCTGCTATTCTTCACCGTGTAGTTGATGGTACCACTTTCTGCTTTACCTTGTGGCCCGGACCTGGTCAGTAGATCGTTTCTCACCGACGAGGACCATTGATTTAGGCAGGGTAATGAACTCACCTCCGGGAACCCGGTCCTGGCCTGACGCTTGCGACATGCTCATGAGACTCTTGAGGCGAACGCGGTGGATAAGTCGACGCTCCGTTGTCTAGTTGATGTATGTGTTTTAATATGGCCAAGAAGGCTGGATCTCTGCTTGACTGTAATGTAAGATGCTCCTCAAATCGTCCGACATGAGCCAGGTCTCCCAGACTCTAATAGTCGTTTGGAAAATTTTCGGGACTTCGAGAACACATTTTACTACTGTATGTCTCCTATGCCTCCATTGGTGAGTCTCAAACCTGGCGATGGATACGTTGGCCTTATCAACGCTATTTTCCTCACATCCCGTCAAGTCCGTGATAACAAGTATTAGGGGCGAAGCCGGGGTGGGGGAACTTGTCATCCATGTTTATCTATGCGCAGCAAGGAACAGCGGTCGTCTTCTTGGAGAAAATTCGAGCCTTCGCTGGATTAACTGCCTCGCTCGTTATCTGGTTGCGCCAAAGATCAAATTGGATCGATACTGTGGTGATCCGACTCTGGCTAGCTTTTTGACCCTCGGCATGTGTTTGAGTTTGCCAAAATGGACCTATCACCGTTTTTGTCGTATCTAAGAAACCGGTCTATCAGATATCCCATCTCTCCACGCCAAACTCCTGTCCGAGGGCTTGACGTGTTAGCGAGGCTGTCTATCTACCTGAGTTTTTTTGTCAGTCAGGCAGTTGCGCAGGCGAAGTAGCTTGAAAGGCATGGACACTTAGAATTGACAGGTATAACCACGCCAGTAGCAGTAGTTCCAACAGACACCGAATAAGAAGACATGTTTAATCACGACATGCAGAAATTGATAGCGGACTTCTTCATCACGTAGTGTAATCCGTACGGCCCAAACGCCTCTGGGGCTGGGTCCTGCCATAGGCAATTTAGCAGCTCCACGGCCTGCTCGACATTGCCTGTAGTGAACCGGCACCCTCGAATGTTAGACCTGGCCGTAGCCTGCTGACTCTCGTCTATCAAACATGAGCACACGATCATGGTCGTCCAAAGGAGAATTGCTCCTAAACTCGACATCGACACCAACGCGAATAGTGGCAAGACCACGGCGATGTGCTGCTGGATCTCATGCACCACCACACCGCCAGATACCACGACACTCCCGCACATGGAAGCCTTGAGATATATCAGGAGTGCGTGGCGGTAAATCTCTGCAACGGCGTGGTTTTCCATGCTCCATCCTCGTGAAGGCCCTTCAGATGCTGCCTTCTGCATTCCCCAGACTCCCTTGACCTCCCTACAAGTAGAAGATGGCTGCCAGGCCTCGATTCTTGCTCGCAATGACACAAAATCGCCAGCCAGAACCTCGCGTTCGTCATCACTGTCTCCCTGCTGCTGCAGTCGCCTCCTTGACAGCAGCGATATGACAGGAATCAGGGAGAATAGATCGTGAAGCGACGAGAATAAGATCCCAAACGTGTCGTAATCCGTTAGAAGCTCGCTGATAGAGCCGAGGAGGGGATCATAAGGAACATCCCGATCCTCGTCGAGGCCGTATGGGGTGATGTTAGCCACTATGACAAAATAGGCATACAATTCGAGGATGAAGCCTTCTATCGCCCGCTCGGATCTGCCACGTGCCACCCACGGGCAGCCATCTCGAAGAGACATGACGAGGTGTCGAAATACTCTTAGATGCGGGAAGATTGCTCCTCGGTGATATCGCTGGATGGACTAATTATATGACTTGTGCGTGAGCGCGGCGTCTAGGTACCTCATTTATTCCGCTTGTCTCATCGATGGAGAGCCTTTGGCGGACGACAGGAACGTGAATTGTGGTCTCAACATACCTCGATCTCGCATAGTAACATCACAGTTACGAGAATACGTATGGTCATCCTTCGGTTCACCCTGGAGCTATCAGGCTCTAAAAGTATCCTGCGGAGGCCTTGTAGAACTAGGCCATATTGTATCAGGGTAACACGTTGTATTTCCGACACCATTGCCGCGTTAGCAGTTGATAGCAGATGCGTGCCACCAAGGCACAAGACTGCGCTCATGACCAGCTCGTCTTCGTAAGCAACTGGCATGACGCATGTAATAAACGGATTTTCGGGGGTTGGCCTCGCCACCAAAATACAACTCGTAGTGGTGAGGTAGTGATCGAGAAATAGCGCGGCGCATTGGTGGTTGCTTTGATCAGTCGTAATAGGACGAAGGAACAGAGGCTGAGAAAGCGTATAAAAGTCTCCGTATATCTCCCCCCTGGCCGATTGCCTCAATGGTATGGACGATGCATGATACTATATTAGATGAGATTGCGTTAAAACCTACAACGCAGTCTATTGATACAAGGAGGGTGTCATGAACTTACCGCCGAAAAGCCATCCCAATAACTGCCTCCCTGGGTCTGTTCCGGCCAGGTGCACTCACTGTGTCGTCGTACGCAACTTGAACACGAGGGTCTCCCCTCATCACACTTTTTCTTACGCTCGCGGCAAAGAAGACAGCCAGCCTTGGATCTGTTGTCAAATCGACGCCACGGCCTGGCTTCCTTAGCCGCAGGCATTTCGCGCAAGGGGCCCGCGGAGTCCGGAAACGCTAGTAGATATCCTCAACATTTACTACGCGATAAGGCTACTGCTCGGGGATTGCAAACCTTCTTTATCAGTAGCAACCTTGCCCTTTTCGAGAGATTTCTTGCGCTTAGATAAAGACATGTGGCACGGAGCGCGGACAAACTCACTCGCCCGAAATGCGCTGTGCTACAATGTAGCGCGGTGGAGGTGGATTGAGTGTAATGTGTAAGTCCTTTATTAACTTGGCTGACGTATACGTTGGAGATATTGTATAAGATGGTGCCTAGCACACGACAATTAAATGCCGTCGAGGCGCTATCATCAAGCATATAAATCACCCACCTGAATTCGGTTCTTCCTCTCTCGTTGAGTCATTACCATCTCTCTTGTTCAACATTTTCAACATGGCTCCAAGAGACAACCAACCATCGATCAAGCTGGCGGACACTCCGGCTCTCCCGGATCCCAAATACTGGGCCCACTCTGTCTCTATCAACAAGTCGAGCCGCCTTGTCTTCACGTCCGGCATCACCGGGCAGACGGTCGATGATAACTATCCCGAGACCTTTTCCGAACAAGTGAAGGCCTCATTCGATAATCTTGAAAAGGCACTCGGGGCGGTTGGCGCATCGATGAGGAATGTTGTCAAGATCACCTTCCTACCCGTCGATTGGTCGCTCGAGAAGAAAGCAAAGGAAATGTTTGAGCCGTACGTTATGTCCCTAGCCGAGACTTACGGCTGGGTCAACCGACCGCTCACCACAACAATTCCCGTGTCTTCCCTTGGGGACTCTCGAGCACTCTTCGAGGTGGAGGCGGTTGCTACGCTCTCGGGCGACGGAGTTCCTTATACGGATGGCTCAGAGGCCGTGGATCGCTCCCCGCCTCCTACAGTTGTTAGTGCAGTTGTAGTAGGCGGGGGCTTTAGTGGCCTCCAAGCCGCCTTTGATCTCCAGCAATCCGGTTTAGACTGCGTCATCCTCGAGGCTAAGCACCGAGTCGGTGGTCGCAGTCGGTCCCAGAAGCTGCGGACCGGGCCGGGGCTTATTGAGCTCGGTGCCACCTGGATCAACAAGACCACGCAGCCCAAGATCTACGAGTTGACCCAAAAGTTCGGCCTGGAATGTATCCAGCAGTATGACGCGGGTGATTCGGTTTTACAGACTACAGACGGGACTGTCCGAAAGTTGAAAGATGGCAAGATTGAAACCGTACGTTATTTCTCAGCATAGAGCAGCCTGTCCTTTGTGTATCTATTAGCTATTCTACAGCGCTAATAGATCATCACCGTAACATATCGAAGACGACAGTGTTCTAGTTGCATTTGGTGCACTTACGCACGCCATCGAAGAGGGATATAAGCTATTCGAGCTAGAAAATCCGTTGGAATCGCCCCCCGAGCTCGACATCTCCGTGGAAGACTGGGTCAAGCAATCCTGCAGGGACAACGAACTGTCTAACGACTTAGGTCGCCACCTCGTTGCCGCTCTCGTGGGCAGAGAGGTAGGTGAAGTTGGAATTCACTTCATACTTGATTACCTCAAATCCTGTGGAGGAGTTGATGCCGTAGGCGGAGAAGGAGAGCTGGGAGCTCAATCTCTTAAAATCCGACAAGGTATGTCTCATGTTTCAGTCTCATAGTTATTGATCAACATCCACGGGACGAAAACCCAGTCGTATGAACTCTCATGGCTAACCACTCGAGCAGGAACTTCTTCAATTGCAACCAGCCTCGCTGACTCGTTACGTCCCCAATCTGTCACGCTCAACAGCCCTGTTAATGCTATTCACCAACTTGAGGATCACATTATCGTCTAAACTTCGAACGGGACCAGATACAAATGCCTGAAGGTTATCCTGGCCATCCCCTCCAACACGTACGAGTTCATCCAGTTCTCACCTCCGCTGCCGCACGCCAAGCGAGCCGTGGTTTCCAAGACAATGGGTGGCGTTTACTCGAAAGCGATTGTTACCTACAAGACCCCCTGGTAGCGCAATATTGGCTTGTCGGGCAAGTTCACTAGCTTTATCGGTCCTATTTGCTTTTCCTGGGAGATCTCTGATCCTGCCCTTGAGCAGTATTCACTTGCCTTCTTCGTCAGCGGCCCTTGGGCCAAGGATTGGGGGGGTATGAACAGTCTTGCCAAGGAAGATGCCGTCATCAGCCACCTTGCAGTGCTTGTCGGCCCCCAGAATGCGCACTTAGTGTATGACCCACTCGAGTTCAACTACTTGGAATGGCACAAGAATTCATCTGGGGCGCACCTATCTCCTCCATGGGACCAGGGCAGCTTAGCAAGTATGGCATGGCGCTACGCAAGCCCTTTGGAAATATTCACATCGCTGGCGGTGAGACAGCATATGAGTGGAAGGGCTTCCTCGAGGGAGCCCTTAGGGCCGGCTCGCGTGCGGCGAAAGAGGTTACCGATGCCCTCCAGGCCAAGCAGAAAATGGCCACAACTTAACCAAACGTGCGGGTGCGTATTAAATGAATCATGGTTCGGTTAGGTAATTTCATCCTAGCATACGCATCTCTCTAGTAGGATAAAATTATTATTACCTGTTTAAGAAAACGTTCTCAGTATTCCATAGAAGACTTCACAGTCTCGTTCGAACTGCTCTCTGTTTCTATTATCTACAATTTAACACACAAGCTTCCATGTGCCGATTATTAGATTGGACAGGGGTTTAAGGATCCAAGAGGATATTGTATAGTGGTGCGTTGAATAACCGGCTGGGGTAGAGAAACTAAGGCCACTGGCTGGCGACAGAGTCTTCAATGCACAGCACAACAACCTGAATTTGGAGATCACGCATCGCATCTTGATTCTCCTCCTTGGGCCTTTGTATATCAAAGACGTATTCGATAACATTTTCCCCGTTGCTGAGCAGCTCTGCCTCAAGTGGCACAGATGCTACTTATTGACCTTAATTTATAAACGTAAACTCATCTGGAACAGGGCGCGGACTTGGAACTTCAGCTGTTCACTATGTGGCAGCCCTCATTGAGGACGACTAGTAAGCAATGCTCCCCGACTTTATTAATTCTGTCTACCGCAAACCGATGGCTAAATTGACCATCCAGCATCTGATCCTGCTACCCTGCATCTACACCTTCCGCCTACGCGCCAGGGTTCTGAAGTGAGACGCAGAATGTTTGCACCCAATTGCTTGTACCGTGAGAGCGTGACTGGGCATAATAGGCTGGTGTCTCCTGCTAATTTATAATAAAATCTTCATTCCTTCAAAAGCGGAAGATAAGATATGAATAACTTACCCTAAAACTCACCTTAACTCTTATATTGGTGACAAACTGTACCCTTGTTATTGTACAAACGACTTAGATTGGGTGCAGACTTTGTGCGTCCCACCGTAGCAACCCCCACTCAAAAAAGGATGGGAATCGGAGAAAAGTATTTCATTTTCCGAAATGAGGCCGCCTTATTGTTGCTGGGTATGTCACAGCCGAGTTTACCCGGTGTCCCGATTCACACTTGATTTGTAAGGCCACAGCAGGCATCCGTGATCCCCTTAGTTAGTCCGTTAACTCCCAATTCAACACCCTTCATCTTGTGCATCGTGATCCCGGCGTTGGGGGCTCCGACGCAGAAGACTTTAAGCCAAAGAGAATGCAGCTCGACCAGTCACCAAAAAGCTTATAGAAACCTTTCGATAGATGTATGCACCTACTAATCTTAGCATCAATTCGGAATCGCCGCGGAACGCAAGGAGGACGTTTGGATGCGTTGGATCGAGTACATGTTGAATTCGACCCTCTGCAGCCTAGGTGGAAAGATGTTGCATGAGGCACGCCGAGCCTTGGACAGACTAATAGTTTTCTTCATGGTCTAGAGTATTAAAAACGCTGATAACGACTATACACCCTAAATAAGACAGTTGCAACCTTGCGGCACTCTATTCTAGTAATCCAAAGTCTGACTTAAGAGTCGCGATCAATCACCGTAGCCGTGTCATCCCAGCGCTCTCCGTTCGCTGCCACTTGCCCCAGCTCATTCTCTTCGCCAGCTGGCTTCAGTTTGTCGTCTTGGCCCCAAAGCAGCCAAACCGGGTCGAGGAAGTTGAAGACAGCGACGGCAATGGTCATAGTGGAAGCATCCAAACCGATGAAATATCCCTCGTGTGTGATCAGGTATCCATCCCAGCCTTGGAGGAGCTCGATGGTTCGGTAGATGCTTCGGACGAAGATCATGAACAGGGAAATGAATACTGCAACAAGTAGCCAGGTATAAGCCTTTGGCATCTCGTTGTGATCTGTAGGTCCGAGCTTCCTGGTCTCCAAGGACGACGTCTTGAAAAACACTCTCCTCAAGAAGTCCAGCACCAAGACGGTGAAGACAGCCATAGCCGCCATCTGGAACACAATGCCAGCAACCTGTTGAGATGTTGTCCGCGTCAGCTATCAGTGCTCACCAACTCGAAACTCACAACAGCATAGGCTTGGGCTCACCATGATGTTTGTTCCCGGCTTCGTGTCACCGTCGATCTTATCTGACTCGGTGGATGCCATAGCTCCTCCAACAGCCTGGATGACCAGGGCGATAATATCACACGACAAGAAGATGATGGCATACATCTTGGGGCCGAGAATTGAAGCGTGACGGCCGATTCGGTTGATGAGCGCGCCGAGGATAATGTACAACCCGGCCGTGAAGAAGGTCGGGGCAATGATGAGCGTTGTGATTTGCATCAGAAAGGCGTCGCCGTTGTACGGACATTCGCTGGACCATGTACGACCAGCCCAGCCGATCAGTTCGGCTATCAAAGTAACGTTAGTAAATAACAAGGCTCGTTTAAACACGGCTAGATGTGTATGATTGAAGGATGTGGTGTACTCATAGCTCCGGCACCAAAAGCCAAGGAAGTCCATTGTCGTTTCCTGGTGTACTGGGTAATATGGCCAAGAAGACTGAGACCGAAGAGAACACAGAATGCAATCCCGACCCCCAAAGTCGGCACATAACCGTAAGATGTATCAATTCCCGAGACCAGGGCGTGACAGTTTTTCTTCAAAGTATCGACCTGCTCCTGGGTGAGTTGCCCTGACACTTCCGTAGAATTCGCCATGTCTGCGCGTATCTTCCTGGTAAAAGTTCGACGACGCTCGAAATGCGGGGGATGGGGTTTTGAAAGGTCGTAGCCAAATGCAATAAAATAATGGCACAATAAATCTTGCTTGTCGAGTGTAGCTGGCTTTGTGGCCTGGTTGGGCAAATGGCACATACATATACCAAGTCAAAGCCACAGCCGTTATCCACAGCAGTCCCCGAAGGACCCGTATCTGGGGAGAGACTTGGCCTTTGAATGGTCATGACGTAGACCCTCCCCATTTAACATCGAATCTGGCCCCGCTTCATAATGTTCCACGGCCGGGAGGCTCGGATTAACGAAGTGGACCTGTTAACGGAAAGCTTGCTTGCTGTCATTACAAGCGAAAACTGTCCTACTATCCCAGAGAACCGGGGGCAGTCAGTCAACGAGAACTCGAGACGGTTGCTCCCGTTGCGCTCAGCCTCCCCATCTGTCCCAGCAGTAGATCCAGATTCAGTTAGTATTTACCACGACACCACCACAGGTGATGCGCCGGTTTTTATGGACGGTCCTACGTACCAACTCCGAGAGTTAGAGAAGGCGAGGATGAAGTAAATAGCATAATTACTGTGGTGGTACATGTTTCGCTAGCTAGCCATCACCAGTCGGCGGGGACGCCGACGCCGAAGCCGACTGCGCGGCCTTCCGCGCGCTCCCCTAGCGTACGGGATAACGGGTAGTGAACTGAGTTTACAAAGTCCGGCTCCGAATTGTGTGTTCATTCGCAGTTGCGGGGAGTGGGTTAGGTTTATAAAGTCCGGCTCCGAGTTGCGTGCTTATTCGCAATTGGCTTCAGAACAAAGAGCTCCACTTGGATCTTTTTCAGGTCCCCCTGCTTTAGGACAATCCTTGTTTGAGTCTTCGTTCCGTCCTCGCTCAGCTCGTATAACTTCGCATCAAAGTACCCCCTCCCTAAATTTAATCCCCACCTATTGTCAGATCATCAAGAATCCCCTTTTGGCTCAAGTGTTTTAGATTGAGCCTTGGGCGGAAATATGCCAAAGCGCTCCCTCTTAAGGGCCGGGGGAAACTTATGCGATATGCAAGCACCATATATTGCTTTAACATAAACAAACAAACAAACAGCTTATGGATCCCTCTACCGTCACGTCGCTGGGCTTGATGTTACCATATCGACTCGGTAAATTCGTACTGAAGGAAGCCTAACACCAGCCATCTCGTAGAGGGATTGAAGTCGCTCTAGAGCCCAGACGTAGTCTTCCTCCTGCACACCGCTAAGAAATGCAAACGCTATGCAAAAGGATCGCCGGCAAGCATCCACTCCAATCATATCAAGGAGTGGCATCTGGTATTTATTTGTCTTGTAGGTGCAGTCGAGCAGTAAGAGATCAGAGTAGGCTTGAAGGTATTGTAGAGAACTTGGGTGGGCAAATAAAATTGCTGTAATTTGTTGATTCCCATCAACCCGCAGACGGCTCCAGAACCCTTCTCGGTCTAGTTGATTGATCAAGGTATGAATTGAGCTTTGCCCTTCGTGTATATCATCTTTTAACTTTGCAATGCAGTTGTAAATATCCTGCCTTGTTGCTAGAGAATTGCCATCTTGCTGCTGCAAATATGTCTGGATATCTCTAGGAGAGATGCCGGCGGATACAAGTTCTGACAGAGTTGCTTTCCCCGTGGCGTCGAGTTTGCGATGGACTGGATGTGCTGACGGATGTTGACTTGGAGGATGATTGTGCTTTGAGCATTCCTTGTCCGGTCGATGTTGTAAAGACCAGGTTGTCTTGTCCAATGATTCTTTGGCTAAGACTGAGAATGGACAGCCGGTACCCTCGGGTTGTTGTTTTGCGTGTGCGTTCCTTCCCTGTTGAAGCTTTAGGCTGCCAAGACCTATCACATGCATATGTGACAATTTTCCTGCCACTTGTTTTGGTGGTTGACTTTCGCGTAATAAATGCGTAGCCTCGCGTGGCGGCCGAGATGTTGATTGCAGTAACTAGCTCATCGCGAGACTTGTATTCGCCTTCGCCCACTGTTTTCCCGACTTGAATCATTTGGCTCGTGCTCGCTTGCCATGGAGGATTGAGAAAAGAGTGGATGAATTTGCGCAAAGGGTTTGCGCAGGAACAAGAGCTTCTTGCGCAGAAGTAAGGGACGCTGGTTACGAGCGGGGAAACAGTGTCCCACTTCCCCAGTTGACGTGGCATTCAACCATCACGCCAATGGTTCTCGTGCCCAACCTGCATATCAACAGTAGATGAGTGAGTTGGCTCCCCACCGCCCAGCATCTGTGCTTCGCGCCAGCTATTATCGCTCCAGCTATTATCGCTCTCCTCACTGGTCAACGCCCTTTGTGACCGCTCTTTCACACTGAAGCATTGGTGATTTGTTCACCGTGGCGGGCGCCATCCTGTCGGCACTTCGTTCTTTCTCTTTGTAATTCGTACAATGCTTTCCCGTGCACCATCTGATGTGTTGATGCCCAACGGAACCGTATCAAGCAGACACCAATGACTGGGATCCCGCAACATGACAACGCCGACAGCAGCGAGCGATTCAGCTCGCTGCGAACCCTGAACTTTTGTGGAGCCTGGTCTCCGTTGTCAGCCCCGAGGAGGTGCTCATGTCACTTTGCGGGGTTTCTTGTTGATCATCTGGCAACCCAGCAATCGGGGAAAAGCATCCCCGTCTTGTCGTCGTGATATCAACAATAAGATACCGCACAACACACCAGTTCTCTATCCCTTGCACCGTACCGATTTCGGCTGTCAGCAGCCATGCTGCAAATCAACTTCATTCACCTTCACCTGCTCCCGGTGGCTTGCTTGGTGGCAACCGCAAAGGCAGATGGGTGGGACGACTTCGCCAATAACTTGGCCACAGATCTCGCGCCGCTCCTTGCCCTGTTCGGCGAACAGGCCACAAAGCAGTTCCTGAGCGAATCGACCACACGGTGGGACAACTTCATCTTCGCAATGGCACCCCTGGGTATTCTTACCGCTGTCGTATCTGCGATTCGCGTGTGCGGTGGGCCCTCCTTGCGCGCCTTCATCGGCCGAGCGCAAGAGGGAGGAGGAATTGCCGAGGCCGAGTTGTGCTCGTCTACGAGCCGGGATGTCTGCGAACTCTACCACAACGGTACCATCGTCCGAGTGTTTGGACGCCCAAAGATCTTTGACATTGTTCACGATCGTGAGGCAGCCGACTTTCCCGAGGATGGTGACAGCCAAACAACACCCAAATGTGGTATCTACACCTTTCAAGAATACGTCCAAACGGACGCGTATGTGGCGGCGGGATGGGAGGAACTTGGGAAGGGCGCTCAGCTCAATATTGAAGGTCAAAACGATCCGCAGCGCCATGACAAAGCCAAAAAGGATCCGCAACACGATGTCGAGGCCCAAAAGAATCCGCAGCACGATACCCCAGCCCAAAATCCGCCAAAGAAGAAACAGGCCTCTGATAAGTTCGCCCCAAACCCTAACCTCTCTTTCAACATAGGCATACGAAAGCGGTCCAGACACGTCACTTGGCTAGCAGCTACCGTTGGATTCCTCGCACAAGCTTCAGTTGTGGTGTTTGGCTTTCTTGTCACATACACATGGGGCTGGATGAAAGACGAACATCTCCCCCCAGCTTGGGCCTTTCCTCTGACGTCGCTCGGAACCGTAATTTTGTGCGGTGGCATGTTTTCCTGCGCATTCCTGGTGGAAAGTAGCACCGAGGAGAGAGTGTTCCGCAGAGACCCGGGCAACAGCCGACGTCCAACCATTCATGTGGTACAGCCAGGGGGGCAAACAGTCGGCGATCAAACCTTCGACTCATTTTCGTTTGCCGGTTCGACAAACGAATACATGACGTCGTGGAAGATACCCCAACACCCCATCGCAGAACGGAGGGTCTGGCTTGCTATAGTCTCGACCATGTCCGGCTTCGTCCTCCAATTTGTTGGCATGAGAGCAATGCACTCAGCTGTCTCGGTTCTCCAACTTGGAGCCATTCTACTTATGAGCATCATTCGCGCGGGGCTAAGGACGCAACGTCTGGGCAAGGACCAGAATGTCTTGCTCGATCGCCCTGACGAGGTTGAGGGCCATGAGCTGGACTGGCTGGCCTTGCAAATGGCCAAGGGGCTAGAGAAGGAAGAGCCAGAGAAGAAAGACCAGGGAAGGAAATTCTGGTCGGTAATTGCCGGCCCGGCGAAGCTATACTCCCCTCCAGACCATCCCGAACCCAAGCCCGACACGGATTCTCGACAAAAGGACAACGCCCAAACGCCCGAACGACACCCGGCTCAGACTGCATTCTTCTACCGATCCCGGCTTGCAGAATTGACAAGCCAGCCAACAGGCGTCAAATCAAGGTCATCGATAGCGTGGGACGAGCGTCTGGTACATGTGCGACAGCAAGCTCTGCAACTAAAGAAGGCCATTGAGTCCAGTGCCGATGTTCTCCTCGCTCACGCGAAAGTGAAGTCTGACCGGGCGCGCGAATCCATCACTTGGGCCATCGATGTAGCAGAATACGGCCAGTCAGAGTCCGGTCTCACCCCCAAGAAGGCTTCCAAAATCTATCTTTCCCTGCACAAGTCAAAAGATAGCAAGCAGTCTCCGGCATGGGCAGTAAGTCAGCAAAACCTCGAAGCTGTGGTAGGCCTATGGGCTTGGTCAATAGTTTCAGATCCTAGCACGGAGGAGGCCGACGAATTCAAACTCCGGGTGTCGAGGGCATCAGAAGTACCGGCGTCCAGGATTATGGCTGTTGGAGTCGCTCAAGAGGACATAGAACACGCGAGAACGGACTTGAAGTTCTGGATCGGAGACTTTCCCTCGACGTCAACGGAGAAATGGACGGCAATGCCAGATCGCATGGAAAGCGGCCCGCATACTCTATGGGAGACCCAAGACGAGGAGACAGTTCGCAAAATAACTGCTACACTAATGTCACCTGGTTCAAACCAATCACGGCTGCGACTTTTTGGCTGGCAATCCGCAGAACTACCAGACTCTTATTATTCACCATCCGAGGTATATTCACGGACCGAGCTATTTGCCTTAACCACCACTGTTAGCCAATCCATCTCTGCCACATGCGCCCAGGACATATATCAGTCCTTCCTCTGCGCAATCACGGCAGACCTTGACTCCATCGGAGGGCAAACAAAACCCTTGCAAGGAAGCAGAGGCTTTTACTTTGAGAACGACGTGGTGTCCCGTCTTGCGGAATGCTTCAAGGAGAGCGGCCTTGGCTCCACACAAGATGCGTACTTGGTTATCATCCCAGCTTTGAGATGTCGGTCGAAGTTGCCTTTGCCAGGAGATGCTCTTCCAGCTGTTCACAGCGTCGCTGAAACAAGTAGGAAAGAGGGAAACTTCGAGGAAGCGGCGGCTATCCTCAAGTGGGCATGGCAAACTGCACTAGAAACATATGACGGACAAGACAAAGGTGCGCTGCATGCGACCATGCTAGAGTTGGGCGAGCTCTTTCGGTATGCTCTTTTCTGGAAAGACGGGTCCCAAACGGAGTTTAGCCGCAAAGGAATTTCCTGGATGGAGAAACAGAAGGGGACACAACCATACGGCCCTTTAGTCGCCGACATTGTGGACGAGTACGTCAGCCTCGCGACGGTGGACCATTCTCAGCCGAAGGGAGTCGAGATGGCGAGAGAAAATGACTCCAAAATTCAGCTCGTCGTCGAGGATCAACGTTGGAATTCGATATCCGGAAAGGGAATGAAGAATCTCAAGGAGATGTGAGCGAGCCCCTCCTTCAGGTTCTAATCTCAGGCCGTGACCGCTAATATGAAATCTATCCCCAGCGCTGAGAGAGCCGTGCCTGAGCTGTATCCGTACATCAACAAGTACCGCAGCTTTTTCTCAAACAAGTTGAGAACAAACCCCAACGTGCAGCGGACGCGGGTTGCCATCCTTGACAGCGGCTTCCTCATCATGCCACAGGTGCAAAAAGACAACGAGGCGGACGAGGGCTTGTGGCCGCAGATTGCGGAAGGAAAGTCATTCATCAACAACGCTAGCCGACAACGGCCGTGGCACTTCCCGTCCGATTCGCACGGCACCCAAATTGCCAACCTGATCAGCGCTATCGACCCTCACTGCGAGATCTACGTTGCCAAAATTGTCGAGGGCAGGCAGGGCATTATGCCAGACAATGTTGCCGAGGTACAGCTTCTCAAGCTCGTTTCATCAACCTACCCAATTTCACTAACCTGAATAGGCTATAGAGTGGGCTATCAGTAAAGGAGTGGATATTATTTCCATGGGCTTTTCCATCCCGGATTTTACCGACGACAACCACTATTCTAATATGCTTCAGAGAGCAGTTACGATGGCGGACTACAGGGGTATTATTCAGTTCTGCAGCCACCATGATGAAGGCTGGAATATAAGGAACTCGTGGCCAGCTAGCTGCTCTGAGACTAACGTGGTCGTGGCATGCAACGAATTTGGCAATTTTTCCGATCGCTATGTGGGACAGTATAACTACAAAGTCCACGGTACAGACATCTCTGCCGGTGCAGTACCATATCTGGAGTCTAATGATAGTATTTCCGGAAACTCAGTTGCTACTGCTATAGTAGCTGGAGTCTCCTCGCTTATGCTCTCGTGTCGTTATATGCAATTTCCGGAAGAAAGGTTTGGAGAGAATGGGGTTGAGTACTATTCGAAAAAAGAGTTTGTTAAAGCTATGTTGAAGAATATCTCCGACTCTAGGGATAATGACTCATATAGCGAGCGGTATATACAGTTAAGGAAATTTTCTAACTTTTTGCGGGATAGGGATAAAAAAGAAGTGTATCCGTGGCTTATGTAGGGTTGAATACTGTAATTTAGAGAAAATTTCTATCTAAATAATATTAAACCCGAGAATACAGAGTAATTCCGCTGAGACTATTAGGCACTCAGAGCCTTTTAATTTTAGTGATAAAAAGACTACTATCCTGTATAGGATACTCTAAGTTAGAACGTTCTACGTCGTAATTACCATATAAACCAGTTTATTGCTAATCATTTAACACACTGTTATAAAATAGAATACACATCAAGGAATTAAGTCTATAGAGTAGACATAGTACAGACCAGTATCCCAGAATAAACCAAAAATCGACAAAGCTAGAAAATAAACCCAATAATTAGAATAGAAATCTAGTTCAAAGTCTACACTGCCTCGCTCTTTAAACTATAAAGTAGTATACACTCTGAATTCGGCTAAATATCATCTTATCTCCATTAATCTTAGTCCGAAATAAGAATTACACACTATCCTCAGAGGCTTAACAAAGAGATGGATAAAACGTTATCACTACTCTCTAGTAAATCTCTGCTATATACTTTTGCAAATCCTCTTGTGCCCGTCGTTGCTACTTAGTCGATGCCCTATTGTTCGGAATCTCGATGAGATGCCAATAAGACTCGGTCCCAGAAATCCCGGACAGTCGGATAGGAGGTTCACGTAACATTTTGGTGTCAGCTGATTGTGACACCGACGATTTCTCAATTTCGTCAACGCCCCTAGTGATTCCGTCATCGAACTCTACTTCGTCGATAAATATCCCCTGGCTGGGCGTTTCGGGCGCCTCTCATGCGCCGTGCCATGTCCTTCTGTGGACAAGAAAAATTTACACGCCATGGGTTTACAGGACTATCTGCAGTCTCATATCGAAATATGGGGGTTAGGGATGACGGGTGAGTTTCGAAAATAAAAGTTATTCGGAATAGAGCAAAAATAATATTAACAATAGAATAAGAAAAATATAATCAAATGAACCTAGTCTTATATTATTCCCTATCCTGTGGAATAAGTTACCGTGGTTTGGAATATTTAATAGATTGAAGTTTGATAAGTTGGTTGCTGATATAAGAAAAGTCTTGGCTCAGAAAAGTTCCAAATAGGAAAGGCGTTGACCCACAGAAAGGTCTTGGCTTACGATTAATTCAAACCTATCAAACCCGTCGCATCTATCACGCACATCGATCGCACCGCTATGGAGCCTGTTATTTTTACCGTCGGGGTAGTTGGGTTTGCTGGCCTCTTTAGCTCTTGCTTAGAGGCTGTGGATAAGGTGCAGATCTACCTGTTATTTAGGACCGACTTGCATGTGCTAGATACCAGGTTTAAGGCTGCCAAGGTCCGTTTCGAGAAATGGGGTCGGCGCGTCGGGTTCAAACGAACGATACTATCTAAAGACCATCACCCTGCTCTCGACGACCGCGATATATCTGCGGCGGTATAGGATATTATCCAGATCATTACAACTCTCTGCAGCTGCTGAGAATAGGATGGTGGACACTTGGAGAAACTGGCCTCATGCATCCTGCCTGGCCTGCGTCATAAGGTGTACAGTTGTGACGTGTCAAGCTCAGACAGATGCACCTGTCGTATAACACCAAGTGATGGTACTACTAATAATATAAGGGGAGCATTCTGAGGCCAGGCGTCTGACGTGGCCACTGTGCTTCGCTTTTGTGTGGCAAAACTAAATGCACTTTCATAATTTGATTGGAGTGCCGGAGGTCATGTGTGCAGGATGTTATGTCACACCTATCAGCTTGTGAGACTACGGCCCGGTTACAAAGGGTCTCAAGGAAGTCTCAAAGACGCGGCTTTCTAGCAAGCCAGTCTCGAAGACCCGGATCCCTTGGATCCGGTCTCAAAGGAAACCTTACTATAGCTTCTATGATGATAAGGATACCTTCATAAATAGAGCTGCTACGAGCCCTCTATTAGATAGAAATCAAGAGCTTCCATCACATCTCAATGTACCCTTCCTTTCTGATGCAACATGTTACGTATCAAGCAGCCTGTTGGGTGTAATTGGGGTTCTAAGCGAGGCAATGTGTAGTCTATGGCCGGCCGGACCTGGGTCGGTCTTGACCACTCTGTTGGTCGCGATACCTTCGTACCACATCATAAATCGCATGCCGACTTATGCCCACATCGCGCGCAATTGCGGCGGCGGACACGCCCGAGTTGTACCTCCAAACAATCCTCGTCCTCGTATGAAGCGAATGGTATACTTGCGACACCATTCTGACCTAATTTGGCTGCGTAATATGTCGTTGAAGTTGAATGTTGATTATGGTGTAGGGAGAGGGAAAGCGGGGTACAGGGAATTGTGTCGCCACTTTTTCCGATCTACTCTAGGTGCCCTTCGCCAGCTTCATAAACTATATCCACAGCGGCGATACGTAGGGAAGCACCCGTTAAGATCGAACGCATGAGAGGACGTTGGTTGACCTCCTTTTAGTGAAAGAAGAGACGCATAGACTCTTAATTATAGTACTATGAACTCTAATAATATGTTTAAAAAGGAGAACCCTGACCAAGCCCGTGATGTCCTTAACGCTCAATTAATAGAGCCCTCAGATCCAGGCTGAAATCGGGTATGGGAAGCGTAAAAGCCACATACTTTCTTAACCACTGTACTCTCCATCCATTGTACAACTGGCTTTATCTCGCTCCTCACATTCAAATATCATCCCTCAACCACGTAACGCCTCCAAGAACGACTTGGTAGAGCCCCCCATTCGGGGACATCTGTGTAGGCGCGACATTGTTGTTGTAATTTCCGCCCGCTCCTGAACGTATACGCCAGGCCAGTTCACCAGTTTTGAAATCAATCGCCGTGAAGTACCAGACGTACTCACCGTCCTCAGCGAGCTCTTCGTCCTGTGTGTAAGAGTACACAAGGCCATTTGCGGTTGAGAGACTAAGGACGCTTGTCGACCGAACCTGCAGAGTCCAGCGCACCTTGCAGTCCCCGTCCTCAGAGATGTCGACACGGGTTATTCCAGGGGCCAAAGAGGCAAGATTGTTGAAATCGCCATTGATGTCGTCCACGTCTCCGAGGTTTTGCATTTCAGGGGCGCCATAGTTGTTATTGATGACGACACTATAAGTAGAACCGTCAAAATACCCAACCATAGCATTTTCATTGGCACTGGCGTTTGGCTGAAACAGCGGGACTTGGCAGACAAAGCTCGATCCTCCTTCTGGAAGGTTGTTCTGATAGTCCTCGACCTGTCTATAAACCACCAAATTGACTTGTACATCAGCATTGTCTGTCATGGCGACGAACTTGTCTCCAATCAATGCTGGCGTGGATCCGGAGCCTCGTGCAAAACCACCGGGCTTCGACGCACTGCCTGCCGAGTATGTCTCAAGCCAGATTGGTTCGATGTCTCCGATCGCGCTTGCTTGGAATGCAATCATGTTACCGGTATCATTAGCAACATTCGACGCGAGCGGCCCGCTGTTGATGTAGATTGTTTTGCCGTTGACAGCCATGGAGTTCTCGATCCTCTGGTTATCGATCCTTGTTGTTTGGATTGTTCCATTTGGTGTGACATAACCAAGTATGGAGGAATCTTCAATCAAACCCGTCGAAGCTAGGCGCACGGCAGAGAACCAGATGTTACCATCTTCATCATAGTAGCTGCTGCTTGGAGAGTGCCCTTCTGGCAGGGCACCGGTGAGATCAATGTCCCGAAGCTGGCGAAGGGTCGTCCCTTTGACACCGTCGACACGCTCGACTTCAAAGATGTGCCCTTGTAGTGTAGGAAGTACAATGGTGCGATTGGCTGCTGTAGCATAGGGAGTAAACAGTGTCTGGTTTTCGGGAGCCCAAGTTGCCAGTGTGTCGAGAGTTTCGGGATCAAGTGCCGCTATACAAAAATGAGCCGCCACGGCGTCGCCGC